GACATGCTCATTGCCAAGGAAAGGAGGAAGACGTAGTAGCAATAAGCAGAACTCTAGCCTTTGCACCAGTGAGGATATATGCACAAGAATGACAAGGACATGAGCTCAAAGAAATCGTTTCTTCTTACAAAGGGCACCAACCCCCTTAAGTTTATTTTTATCACCTAAATGTGAAAATTAAAATGTTCTATTCCCAAAAATATGTTTTCAATATAGTAGTCAGACCCCAGCATCGCAGGATAGAAAATATCTTAGATCTTCATTTGGGAAGCTCAATTTCCCCATTTATTTCTAGCGGGGGGTTTTGCAGCAAATGTTTTCCGATTTGCTTTCTTCCTACGCCTCTGAACGGAATCAAGGGCCCCTGGACGTCCACTGTTTTGTTAATCACGCAGAAAATGTTCATCTATTCTTGTTTATTCATTTCATTTTAGGAAAATGATAAAAGTTTTGTTTGCTTCTCTCGCCATGCATTTCCAAGGACATTCCCGGCTGTCAGTAGCCAGTATAAACGGAAACGGAGCTCCATCCCACCAATGCCGACCTAGCTCGCTTTCCGTCTTCATTTCGACATTTCCAGGCTAGCAAACATAATGCAAGACTGGGCGAAGAACGGACTTTAAGACCACTGCGGTCACAATCAGGCCAAGTGAAGATAAGCTGAGGGAAAGGATCTGTGCAAAGCTGTGCACAATATTTCTTGCTCTTGGGGCCGCGTTTCAATGCTAATTGGCACGATGTTCAACGCCTTCCATATGGGGTCTGGGGAGTCTGTGTAACCCCAGTCTGGGGAGGCAGGTGCTGCTCGCCCCCCGCGCTCACGGCCTTGTCCCTGAGAGTCCACGCGGTGGGAAGGACGCAGTGGCTCCGCGCTCGGTGGCAGCGCCACAGGGGCCAATTCAGCTTGCAGTCCTCCTGCCGTCTCCCCATCCCCTCCTTTCGCTGCCACAGTCACTTTCCTTCGGGTTTTGTTGCTTTGTCCCACATTCCCGTTTTTTTTTTTGTTTTTTTTTTTTTTTTGGCGAGTGAGTTAGCTGTTCGCCCATTCCCTGAGGGTTTGCAGGTCTCTGATCTGGCTCAACTATTCTTCCCATCTGTTTACTTACATCTAGCCACTCCTCGGTTCTCTTTTTATTAATTTTCTTCTTATTGTTTTTAAATGTTGTGTGGCGGGTCTTCTTTGCAAAACTCCTGTGCGTTGCGTGTGTGTTTTGGGGGGAGGTAGTGGTGTGACAATATTACCTGGCGCATAAAGCCTGCGCTGCTTTTTTACAAAAGTAAATTTAAAAAGAAAATCAAGAGACTCGGTCTGATTTTGATTTTAAACCACATGACTGATGGCACAGTGCTCTTAAAAACATAGCAAAAGCGCGGGTCCTGAGCTGAGCGGGACACGCGCACCAGCGAAAGTGGCCTCATTCCGCCTGAGGTGCGGAGGTCGGAAGGAGGACCCATGATTCCAGCCCTGCGGTCCCTGCGGGCGGCAGTGAGTAGCAGCGTTGTCGTTAGGCCCAGGCATGGCCCAGGGTCCTCGGACAATGCCACCTGTGTTTTCCGCCCTCGGATACTTCCCACCAGAACCGAAACGATCACCTGCGGAACCCGGACTTTCATCTGCTCGTTTAAGTTTCTCCTGGAGACCTTGAAACGCATGGGCCCCGGAACACGTCAGCCGGTTGCACGTTTCATTTTGCACCCAAATGACTCCCCGAAACAATCCCACAAAAATCAAAGCGACTCAGGAGACATGAAGTGACGGAGACTGTCGCTGCAAGGATGGCCTTGTCACCGAACCCCTGGCTCTCTCGCAGCCTGAACTTTCGGGATCTGGGTTCAGGGCTGAGGGAGTGTACAGCCAGAGAGTCCGGTAACCCTCCCTACCTCCAGTCCCCAGCTCCCAGCAGCTCTGGCACCCACTTCGTGCTTCGTCTTTGACTCATGCATTTGGCACGGAGCATACCTCTCCTTTCCGTGCCTTGGAAAATCCGGGTCACGTCCCAAGACCGCTATGGGACCCTCAAATTCGTCCTTCGCCCCTGTAGGCGTCCAATCACAGTCGGACGAGTCATATCCCGGGTTTCTGCGTGCGCCCTCAGCTCCGCGGCACCAGCGCGCCTGGAAGCACTCTTTACTTTTGCACGCTGCGCCCAGGGCGCGCAAAAACTACAGTGCCAAAGTCAGCCAAGCAAAAACGCGGAATCCCCGAGCTCTTTACCTCTGTGTGCTCAGCATTGGCGAGTAGCCGTCCCTGGGCCATGGAGAGGGTCAAGCTGCATTCCTGTGAGGTGCGAGAGACGTTTCTTTTTCTTCGCAATCCCATCTTTGGGTCACCTCTCCCCCAGCCCAGCCCGCCGCGCGGGAACCCGCAGAGCCGAGTCGGGGGCCGACAGGGGGCGACAAACTGTAAGATTTTCCAGATGCCCGGCTGTGCAAAGGGCGGCAGCGAGCGCTGTGTGGTCCGGATCCCGTGCAGCTGGCTTCTGAGGAGGGGCTGGGGGCGAGGTGAGAGTCCCAGAAAGATCCCCGGGGTCGATCCCCCAACTCTCTCCTCCAGCCATGGGCCCCCTTCGGGGGTGGGGGTGGGGCAGGGTGCCGTACTGTCAGTTCCTCACGCTCTGCAGGCAGAGGCGGAATGGATGTTCCCCTGAAAGGGTAGGTGGGGCGAATCAGCTCTCACGGTGGCACGACCGGCTTTTTTCCCCCTCTTCTTCGGGCACGCCTGTAGACTCCTCGTCTATAGAGAGAAAGAAAGGCTTTGGTGGCTTTTCCCAATTACCCAGTGCACTGAGTTGCGGCTTGCGTTTCTTTACTTCCGAGATCCCAAGGTCTAGGAATCAACCTTTTTTGGTTTTGAGAGCCCGACTTGAAATTCAGACAACGAAAGTCTAGATCTGAGGTTAGGTTCCAAAACACCTGGAGAAGACTGAGCCGGGCGCATCCCCATTCCCCGAAACCTAGGAGTGTCGGGCATCCTGGGCGTGCTCAGTCCTCCTCTAGGGCTAAGTGTCTTCGCAGAGCTCCTAGCACTGGGAATGTCCACTTTAATCAAACCATTCTCTTTAGCTGGTCCTTACCCCTACGCTGAGCTGTCGTGGACAGGCCTGGTCTTCCAAATGGGTCCCCCTGTCCCCACTCTCGCACCCTGTGGCCAGTGCACTGACCCCCAAACCTTGTCCAGGTCCCTGCGACCTCCCTGAGGCTCCCGGAGCCGGAAGCTGCACAGCGTTCTCCGTGCTGGTGGAGAAGAGGAGTCCTCACTTCTTTTGAACCTATTTTTTTTTCTCCTAAGGGTAATTCTTGCCCGTGGCCCCGCGTGCTCCCGCCACAGAGCCCAGGATTTATGTCTCAGGCCGTCCTAACAGACTCATTGGGACAGGTTGATTAGGAGCCCGCAATTCTCCTTGGCCCCGCAGCGAAGGGAAAGGGGTCAGGGCCTCCATCGCCGCAGCTCCCCAGGCTGCGATGAGCCGGTCCATCTGCGCTTCGGGAAGCGTCACTGCGTCGCTGGGGTCACGTCTCTGGGCCGCTGTGGAGAGCTAGACCTTAGGAGGGTGTGCTTGTGTGTGTGTGTGGGGGGCGCTTTTCTCAACTTCTGAGGACAGCTGTAAACGCTGCGGAGTCCCAGGAACAACGGCTGTTCCTAGTCTCCCTTCTAGGCCCTACTTCCAGCTCCAGCACGTTCAGCCCAATGCCCTTGGCGCTTACTGGCCCCAACCTTGGAACTCTCAGGTCCCGGCCTCCTCAGGTCAGTTCAGGTATAAAACCATGAGCTTTCCCTTTCCACCTGCTCTCTCCTGGCCCTTACCGCTTGGCTTCCTCTGAATTGCCACGGTTAGCGACACAGTTGTGGAGTCCAGAACTGTCTGTTGATGCAGGGTAGAAACAGAGAAAAGAGTTGGCATTTAATGCCAAGACAAAAGAATTCAGGGCTGCCTAAAACCCTGCTTAAATGAAGGAGAAAGGACCATTCTGTGGTTTAACAGAGACCTTCTGGAGGCTCCGGGTGCTGGGGGAAATGCAAGCCAGGCTGGCCTGGGATAGAGTGGTGCGGGGTTCCATCGCCAGGGAGACAGGCACTGTCCTTCAGGCCTAGAGTGGGAGCTATGCATGGGGCCTCCCGCCGATTGCCAGGACGTGCTTACGGAGGGTGTCGGTTCTATGCTCCTAGGGGCAGCTGTTTGGAATCCCTTTCTCCCCTGCACCCCGTGTCACCTGTGACCCTGGCTGCAGGAGACAGAATCTGGAATGTGCCCCTCTCCTGTCACTGAAATCACCCCACTACGCCAGTGGAGTGGGTGGCTATTAAACATTGTAAAGATTTCCTGAGAGCAGTATTGGGGACCTGACCAGGAATGGGACATGCTGGAATCATCTCCGCAACAAGCCGCCGTGGGCCCTCCCAGCCAGGCGCCCTGCACCAAGCTGGACGCTCACCTTGGCGCTTGCACTGAGCTGCGGTACTGACCCCACTCTTCAGGGGTCTCTGCTCAGGAAGGGGGGCAGTAGGGACAGCCAACCCTAAACACCTTGCCATGATCATCTTTTATTCTTTATCTTATTAGTAATAATGGTGGATGCGGTAATAAAACTAAAACCAAAAACGAAAACTATACTAGTGCTAATACACTAATCAATTTGAGATGACTTCCCCATCATTCCCAAAGCCAGAGGAGTGAGGGTCTGCAAGGGGCTGGAGCTGGTGAAAGGTCCTAGGCCCAGCTGGGATTGGGACATGTGTGTTGTGTGTGTGTGTGTGTGTGTGTGTGTGTGTGTGTAGAGGGGTGGGTTCCGGAGGGGGGTGGAGGAGGGCCGAGGGGGGAGGACAGAAGGAGGGGGTAGAGTTTCAGGGAGGGGAGGTGGAAGCCGGGGCGCAGTGACGGGAACCAATGAGATGCCAACTCGCGCGTCTCCGGCGTGACTGCCGAGATTGACGTGGAAAACGCGTCAAATTGATTCCCGCACGCTGCAGCCTCCCGGTCAGACGAATTTCTCCCAATCGGATGAAGTTCACCCTGGGCCTGGGGTCGCGGGCGTGGAGAGTGTCCTGGGAGCGGGCGGCAGCGGCGGCGGCAGGCCGTGGGGCGGGCGGCGCTCTCGGCGGCGGCGCACAGCGCGTCTCCAGCCCGCGGTCGGGCCGCCGCGGCTCTCGGCTCGCGCGCGCCCTCCCTCTATGCCTCTCCCGCGGCGGCGGCGCCCGAGCTCTCCCGGACTGCGCCGGGCCCAGCCCCGGCCGCCCCAGCGCCAGGCAGCTGGCTGGCCCGCGCGCTATGGGTAAGGGGCGGGCGGCAGGCAGGGCGCGGGCGGGCTGAAGAGGTGGGTCGTGTCTCCGCGCTTTCCTTCCCTGTCGTCGGCTCTTCCTGGGCGACCCAGTCCTGGGTCCCGGACGAGCCGCATTCTCATGTCTCCAGCCTTCGGGGGCAGTTCAGCAACTCTGGGAAGGGGGCGTCCCAAGTAGACGTGCCAAAAGTCGCGAAAGGGCACGGAGGACTGTAATGGGTAGAGCTCCCTCCGCGGTCCCTGCGCTTTCACCCACTCTCCATTTGCCTTCGGGCTATGAGCTGTCTGGGGATCCGCGGGTCGCGCCTGGTGCAGTCCCATGCCTCGCGTGGCCACCTTGGCTAACCCGCCGGTGTTTTCTTCCCCTCTCGCTCACTCTTGACGGGCGCATCCGCAGAGCAGACGTACGGCGAGGTGAACCAGCTGGGCGGCGTGTTCGTCAACGGCCGCCCCCTGCCCAACGCCATCCGCTTACGCATTGTGGAGCTGGCGCAGCTGGGTATCCGACCCTGTGACATCAGTCGGCAGCTCCGCGTGTCCCACGGCTGCGTGAGCAAGATCCTGGCGCGTTACAACGAGACCGGCTCCATTCTGCCCGGGGCCATCGGGGGCAGTAAACCCCGCGTCACCACCCCTAACGTGGTCAAGCACATCCGGGACTACAAGCAGGGAGACCCTGGCATCTTTGCTTGGGAGATCCGCGACCGGCTGCTGGCCGACGGCGTCTGCGACAAGTACAATGTGCCTTCTGTGAGCTCCATCAGTCGCATCCTGCGCAACAAGATCGGCAGCCTGGCGCAGCCGGGACCTTATGAGGCAAGTAAACAGCCGCCGTCGCAACCTGCGCTTCCCTACAACCACATCTACCAGTACCCCTACCCCAGCCCCGTGTCACCCACGGGCGCCAAGATGGGCAGCCACCCCGGGGTCCCAGGCACAGCGGGCCACGTCGGCATCCCGCGTTCATGGCCCTCGGCACACTCAGTCAGCAACATCCTGGGCATCCGGACGTTTATGGAGCAAACAGGTCAGTCGTGGTGGCCTTCTGTAGCCTTCTATTAAGGGGCATATTTGGGGGTGGGAGGGCTCGCTCCTCTCGGGACTAGCTCTGGCTAAGGGGAGGGATGGGGCTGGCCAGAGGAATTGGTGTCCTGGGCCTTCTGTGGAAGTCCTCATACATCTTGAACTTTTTATGACAACTATGGAAAATATTTCCCAAATGGAAGAGCAATCGCCGACCACAAATTCGGAGGCCTGAAATTGTGCTTTTTCATTCTTGCAAAAAGTATGCATGCAAACCCCTATTGCCAAAGCCAAACAAACCGCTCAGGCAATTCTGTGATCCTTTCTTTAGCTTTCAGAATCCCTCACTATCCCCCAAGGGTTCTGTTTCCCTTCCCAGGCCCAGTGGCTCTTTTGAGTAAAAGTAAAAGGAGTCGTGTGGCCTTGTGGAATGGCCTGGATCTCCAGCAGGCCTGGAGGCCTTGCAGGTCCTGGAGTTGGGATAGCTGGTGATACCCTACCCCGTACCCCAGGATTTGCCTTCCGCCTGCAATTAAACTCAACAAACTGTTGGTCATGTCTTGGGGGAGGAAGATGGAAGGGGTGAGAGGTTTGGCGCAGCTTTGTTGCCCAGATGAGAAAAAACCGTAAGGGGCCAGAACCTGGTCTGTTCCTACTGTCACCAGCCGCCAGCAGCTGGCCAAGGTATGGCATACTCTTACATCAGCAGTCTCAGGAGGACGGTAAGAAGCAAAATTCACGGTAGCCCTGGAGACATGAGGGGCGGCTAAGAAGGAACTGAATATTTACCTCCAGCGGCAGCGGGGAGCACCTCTGAGCTCGCGCACAGGCTTTGTTTCCCCTGGTGGCTCTAACCCAGTCTGGGCTGCCAGCTGGGGCCAAACTTCCCACGGAGCGGCAGTGGGCAGCTGATTGGGAGGGGACCCCACCCAGCCTGCGCTCAGATCTGGAGCTTTCCCTTGGTTCCATGCACACTTGAGAGCTCCAGGAGCAGCCGTGTGCCCAGGACGGGCGCGGGTCCCTGGGTGGAGGCCTCTTTTAGAAGATCGGGGATGTCTCGCGAGGCAGTTCCGGGTAGAAGGTCTGCCGGCCCTCCAGACTTTGTTGAGATGTTGAGATATCCGTACAATGTTCATGAGGCTGTTGTGCATTTGAACTTGGACCTTTCTGGGCGCCCCGTTCATACAGAGGAGTGGCCGCCTCTGAGTGCGCCCAGCCGGGTCCCGCGAGCTGCCACTCCGCTACCCCCCACCCCTAGATCTCCGGTTTTCGTGGGAAGCGGGTGGAGGGCTTGGAGGAGCGAGGAGCAGGCCCCGCCGGTTTTCTTTACTCCGCGGGGCTAGGAGTGAAAGAGAAACCCCAGGCGCCACCGGCCCTCCATCTCCGACTGCTCGCTGACCGTTTGACCACAGCCAGGTGTTGGGGGACCCCAGGCACCCTCGGATACCAGTCGGTGGTTGTAGGCACGGGTGTAAACGTCTGACTGGGAGGGCTGCACGAGTGCCCAGGCCGGATCCAGACATGCCTTATAATCGTCGGGCGTCCCCGCAGGGGCTCTGGCCGGGAGCGAAGGCGCCGCCTACTCCCCCAAGATGGAAGACTGGCCCGGCGTGAACCGCACGGCCTTCCCCGCCAGCCCCGCAGTGAACGGGCTGGAGAAACCTGCCTTGGAGGCGGACATTAAATACACTCAGGTAACCCAGAGGCAAAGGAGGGAGCTGACCTTAATTAGAAGAGCAGAAGGGTTGGGGATGTGGGGAAAAAGAGACAGAAAAGAGAAAATTCTTCCACGCACTCCGGTCGTCGTGTCTGGCCGCTCGGCTAGCGAGCCTCTTCGAGCCGAGCCGCGTATTTCTGTCTTTTCCTCGAACTTACTAGTTTAGGGGAGACCGGCTTTCTAGGGCATTGATTTGCCTTTTGCCGACGAACCTTTGCTTAAAAAGCTGGACCACAGATCCGCAGTGAGGACCCCCTTTCTGTAAATCCTGGTGGTCAGTATTATGATCCCTCACCTGTCATTATTTATAACAATTTGAATGGATTCTTAGAAATCACTTTGCCAGAGTCCTTACTGAGAGAATTAGAGGCCGGGCCTTGCGTGGGCACAATTGACGGGGTCAGCAGGGGAAATAACCCATCTCCGTGGTGGCGTGCGCTGGAGAAGATGGCAGGGTTATCCCCTGCTGACTGCCTGTCCCTCTCCATCCCCCTAGTCGGCCTCCGGCCTCTCCGCGGTGGGCGGCTTCCTCTCCGCCTGCGCCTACCCCGCCTCCAACCAGCACGGCGTGTACAGTGCGCCTGGCGGCGGCTACCTCACCCCAGGCCCTCCGTGGCCACCGGCGCAGGGCCCTCCGCTGGCGCCCCCCGGGGCCGGCGTCGCAGTGCACGGCGGGGAGCTCGCGGCAGCCATGGCCTTCAAACATCCCAGCCGAGAAGGTGAGGGGCACAGGCAGGGAGGGGGTCGGGTGGATGCCAGAAGGGTTATGGAGGGTGGAGGGTGCAGGGTACAGGGACGGAGGTCCGGGCCTGGGTAAAGGAAGGGAGTGAGGGGGAGTGTGAAGAGAGAGAGAGAGAGAGAGAGAAGGAGAGGGAGGGGAGGAAAGCGCTGGGGTGGGTGGTGGGCCCTTGGCATAAATTCTTCCTTTGGGGTAAACATTAAGCCCGTAGCTTCTTGGAGCAGGTGTCCCCACTGTCTATCAGTGTCCTCAGAAAGGCACACTGAGGTTGAGAGAGGCCCCGGAGGTCCCCCACTCCACTTTTCCAGAGAGAGGGGAAAGAGGGCCAGGCTGGCACACAGGACTCCTGGGTTTGGATCTGGTTCTTGCATCCTTGGCCAAATTATTGCTCCTCTCTGGGTCTCAGTTTCTCCACTCATAGAAGAGTGTAGAAGGCACCTCCAGGCATACACTTCTGTGGACCTGTCCTGGCACCTCAACACTACAGGTGGGGTTAGAGTTGCCAATCGTGCCTGACCTCCACACCAGGACCCTTCCCATCACTGCCCATCTTCCAAATTCCCTTTTAAAAACAAAACAAAACAAAAAACAAGCCCTGGCTTCCCGTTGGGTTCTTTTTCTTAAACACATACCGTGGACAAGAAGAGAGCATTTAGATCATGCGTCCCTAAGTCCAGACTCTTTGGAACTCTGTGTGGTTTGGGGTCCATCTTTCTGTGAGAAAGGTGGCTGGGAGTTCTGCCCCCTTGGCTTCTTCCTCTTCCTCCTTCTCTTCTTCCATAAATCTACTTCGGATAAGTCAGCTAACAGATTTCAGGTGTTTAATGGACAGTCAGCAGTGTGAGGGCATCATCTTACACTGCCCTTCGGGTTCTGTTTTTTTCTTTAACTTGAAAAAAGCTCACCATTTTTGAATCCTCATTTTCCTCTTGGAGAAAGGGGTAGCTGGATTTGGTAATTTCAAGCCTGCCTGTATTTAGGTTCTAATCACCAGAAATTTGTAATTTACAACTAACCTGGGAAAGGAAGGAGTCACCCCAGGGGGTCCCAGCCCCAGCAGAGAAGGGGACAGGGCACAAACACGGGGGAAGGTATGGGGCAGGGGCTGTTCCCAGATTATAAAAGGATCTTCACCAGCCGATCTGCCTCACACCTGCTTGGTGTGGCAGGTGGCATTTGGAAGGCAGGGGATAGGAGAGACTTCCTCCTTGGTACCACCCAGACAAAAAGTGCTATTTCTAAGAATTCTAAGTAGTCTTGATGAGACAGGATGGCTTGATCTATGGGTTGGGGTAGAGACTAAGATGCCATCCATAATAGTGAAGCGGAGGAAGAAAAGTAGTTTTTCTATTTCTACTTTTCCTAGAGCACAAATATCCTGGGATATTAGAATAATGCTCACCTGCCTAATTATAAAGACATCCAAGTTAAAATTATAAAAATTAAGAATTAGAACTCCTATAAACTTTGAATTTAATTCAAATTATAAGATAACATTACTTGTTCATTTATGGGGGAATTCAAGTAAAAGAAATTGTAAAAGTTGAGAATGAGAACTGCTTTGAACTTTACATGAGAGGATACTGTGGGGTCTCAGGATGAGTGCTTCCCTCGGTTTCCTGTCCTTGGGCTCCGATCTACCTGTTTTCTCTACATCTGAGGATATCCATTGAAATCGAAATTGAAACGGAATTTACTTCATTACACAAATCACATAACTAAGCAGGTTCATTTGAATTAGAAAAGCATATTCACAAATTTAAACGATTTCCCCAGATTGAGCCAAGGAGGACGACTTAGAAAAAGGACTCACTGTCTTCACAGGGATGCAGTTGTTTTCCAGTAGAGCCACTTTGTCCTGTAGCATTTTAAGCTCTACCTTAGATACAAATTATGACATATAGGTAACAATCCAAAGGTAACACTACAGTCCCTAATTCTAAACTACTTGTTAATTTGGGGGGAAGGAGGAGATGATTTCAATATTTCGGCTCACTAGTGATTGATTTTCTTTAGAAGATACTTTCCTTTTCCGAAATATAGAGCCACTGAATGACGCTGGTAGTCAAGTCCTTTTTATCATTATATCTGCTTCCTATTATGAAATATCCCACCTGCTTTCCAAATGCACAGCAATAATTAGCCACATTAGTTATTAAATTAACAATTTAATTTCCTGATCCTCACAGTTCTTTGAAGTTTCAGGTAATGGATCATCAAATACCTCAGGTCCACTGTTAATGACAATTTCTCAAGCTGGCATGCGATTGTTGTGTTTGAACAGGAACATAAAAATAATCGCTTATCTATTTTTACAGCATGAGAATTACATACATATTTGGGTTACGGAGTTTTACTTCTCTTCTCAGTAGTAGAAAAGCTCCTTTTAAAGATCCTCCTCCTCGAAAAGACAAAGCAAAGTAATATGAATCGCTGCCTTTTATTTTTAAATCATTTCTTAAGAAATTCACATTTTCAAAGAAACCTATCCCACAGGACAATTTACTATCATCAATTGTTGTTCAATTCATAAGAATAGTAGGAATAGCATTTAATGAATTTCTTTTCAGTAAGAAAAAATTTCTTTACCAAAAGCAACTTAATATAATGAGTCCTCAGTAAAAAATAAATACTTCTGATCATTCAGTACACACACACATACACACACACACAGACACAAACACAAACTACCATACCAAATTAGGTGCAAATGAACATCTTAAAGGTTACCCTCAGTGAAGCCTAATGGAATGTGAAAATTACCCATCAAAATTTATTTTTATCTTGGTAAAAGGTAGTGAGTCTGGGTTCCCTGTTATATAGGCAAGAAAGTATGATTTACTTACATTTCCCATCCTCTGAAAGGAAACTTCAATTCTTGGGAACAGAGAAGAACAGGAAAATTCCACTTTTCACCTTCATGTGAAGGGGCTGACATTCTAGGAATCTGGACACTTATCCAAATCCAGATGTCTTCCATAGCCAGAGCACAGACACCCTCCCCCCCACCAGGTGACAGACCTCACTAGACGCTCCTTTAAGACAGCGGGTATTTTACAGTTCATTTTCAGAAACCGTCAAAATCTCAGGGTTTTAAATCCCTCCCAGTGGGGCTCTGGAAGGACTAAAGATTTGGAAATCAAATCTATAAGATATTTCATACACACAAAGAAAATGTGTTGCTTATGTTTGTTAAAGACAATGTGCAGCTTCGTTCCAGTTATCTCTACTCTGGGATTAGTTCTTGGAGGATCCTAAAAGCAAACTTGGTCCAGGAGCACTAGGGTGCCAGCGTCTCCAGAGCCAGAGCACTTCTCCCGCCACCAGCCCTGGTCTCATTTGACCCCCCGGAGAAGGAGATCCCTTCTCAGACACCCTCCATAATCGTCCCACTGTGCCCTACAGTCTAAATTCCAGTATTTTAAAAATGCCTGTCCCCGTTCCTAGCCCCTGAGGTTAAATGAGCCTGCAGCGTGCCTAACCCTGTAGGGCTCAGGCCTCAGAGACCCCCAGAAGTACCCACCCATGTTGCCCAGAGTCCTGTGGGAGGGGATAGAGGAGAGGGGGTCCTGTAAGGAGGGACTGGCCTGGACAGAGCTAAACTCCAGGCAGGGTTCGCCCCTGTAGGGTGGGGTGGAGTCCATCTCCTCCCTCATGGCTGTTTGTTTTTCAGTTCAGTTTCTTAACCGTCTCTAAGGTAACCAGCCCTTGGCTGAGAAACCTCCTCCTCCTTAGATGTTTCCTAAACAGGTCCTCACCTTGAAGTGTGTGTAGGGGGTAGAAAGAAAGGTCTGAATACTTTGTTGACTGGATGGTCACAGTTGTGTTTAGGAGTAAGAGCTGAGAAGCTGCAAGAAGCCGAAGTTTCGCTCTGTCCTGGAAAGGTTTTTAGACCCCTTTAAAACCTCTATGAAATCCTGTGTGTGTGTGTGTGTGTCTGTGTGTGTACACCCGCGCGCGCCCTTCCCTATCCCCCTCGCACAGAGGTGGTCCCTCCAGCTCCTAGGAACACAGCAAGTTTCACCTGGGGCTGGGGCAAGGGCGAGGAGAAAAAAATCCAGATCCTCCTCCCTCAGTTGAGGCGCTCCCAGTTCTCCTTCTAAAGGAGTACTTGTGGCGGGGGGAGGGGGGGGCGGTGAAAGAAAATTGAAAATAGGCCCCTTTGGGTATAAACAAGCTGTGCCTCCTGGTGTAGGAGAAGCTGAGCTGCCCAAGGTTGGTAAAGGAAAAACAGAGTTGCGCAATCGTGGCGTCACTCTCTGGCTTCCAGTAGCAAAACTTGGGCCCCTTCCCCAAACCCTAAATAATAGAGCAACGCGCAGAATAGCCCGATCTGGCAAGCCCACTGTCACTCAATCCGGAGGCCCATTAGGCCCTGGGACGTGCTGTGCCCACAGTGGTGAGCGCATCTGGATCCCCGGACCTCGTGGGCACAACGAACTCTGCAGCTCACTTAAAGCGCGACCACCTCTTATGTCCGAGGGATCCAGGAACCCCCACAGGGATCTTATGCCGCCCCAGGGAAATCTTTGGTGACCCGTTGCCCATACGATTTCCCCCTGCCCACAGTCAGCGTCTGAGCCGCGGGTGTCGGCTGACTGGATGCAGAGCTGCTCTGCGCACCTACGCACGGCGGGTGCGCGGGGGTCAGTTCCCCGCTCCCTTCTGCTGAAGTCTCCCTTGGACCCGAAACCCTCCCCTGTCCCTGCGCCCTTCACCTCCTTTACTGAGCGGGTGGTGAGGGGGTCGAGGAGCAAAGGAAATTGCACCGGGTCAACGGCCATTGCAAACAACCTTGCGAGGAGCCCCTCTTGCCCAGGTTCTCCTTGCAAGCGGCTCTCTTGAGGGAGAGGGAAGGGTGGGTGACCACGGCCGCAGCGGGCCTCTGCAGAGCGAGAGTCTCTGCTTCCTTCTTCCAAAGCCCCGACAGTTCGAGCGCGCACGGCCGGCCGCGGGCTGCAGGTTTCCCGGCCTCGGGTCTTTCGCCTGGCCCGGCGCTGGGCAGTGACCCGACGCCCCTGTGCTTCCTCCCGCAGCGGCCGATCGGAAGCCTTCCAGCCCCGGCGGCAAGGCCCCGGACGCCCTCAGTAGCTTGCACGGACTGCCCATCCCGGCCTCGACCTCCTAGGGGCAGCTGTGCCCGGAGCCGGAGCCCGGAGGAGACTGCGGACCGGCAGGCGGACCGGGGCGCACAGCTCGGCCCGCCGCCCTACCGAGCGGCGCGGGAGGGACCCGAGGACACGCGGAGGAGGAAGCTGGCGCCGGCCCGGTGGGAGGCCCGGGCAGTCCCTGGCCTCGTCCTGCCTCTGGCCTGGCCCGCCACACCTCCTTTACTGGCCGGTGTTCTTAGGCTTTTCTGAACTTTGGCTTTAGGCTGTTGCACCCTTGTGATGAACCATGGCCTCCCTGGCTCTGCCAGCCTTAATTTCTTTTCTGCCCTTCTCTTCTCCATCTCCCTCCCTGCCTCCTCCCCTCCCTTTCCCCCTTCCTCCCTCCCTTCCTTCTTGTCTTCCTTCCTTCCTTCCCTTTGTCTTCTCTATTTTCCTTCTCTGTTTACTGCCTTCCTTTTCGTCTGGTCAATTTCCGTCATCGATGCCCTACTCTCTTTCTCACTTTTTACTGCCAAGGGCTGCATTTCCCTTCATTTATTCTACTTCTCCAACCCCCCCACACCTCCACCCGTCCCCCAATCCGGGAGAGCCCTAGACATGTCTCCGGGACAGACCCTTTTACAGCACCTGGGGCTTTGTAGCCCCACCCCTCTCAGCCCCCCAGCCCTAATGGGGGGACTCAAACCAAGGAAGTGGACATAGAAGCCACACCTTTTGTTTTATATTTGTATAATAACAAACCGTAACAAAACCTCCATGGACTATTCTCTCCCCCGGCTCCCCCCAGTATATTGTCTGGAAATCTGTATTTTCTCAGTGCCCACTGGCTGAGCTTCCCTTCGATTCTGAAATGATGTCGCCCCAAAGGAGATTGGGACAGGAGTAGAGGACACTGGGGCTTTTGGGGTGTTTAATGTAGTTAAAAAGCTGGATGTCCTGGAGGTGCCCCCTCCTACCCCTCCACTCTCAGCACTGGGGAATCTGACAAATGGTGATCGCATCATCAGCGCTGTTTTTGGCGTTCAGGTCAGCGTAGTTGTTAATTTAAACCACAAACTGCTTCTGGGTACAAAGGTTCACTCTGGCTTCTGGTTTGCAAGGTGTGGGGGCTCAGAAAAGCCTGGAAAGTGTCTTCTAGGGCCAGACACAAGAGCTGTTAACTGCCTCCAAGTTCAGGTGCACTGGTGGCGGGACCCTGGACATAATGCAATTTTGTAGTCATAAAAATATCACTGGTGAGAGTCTGACATCACCTGTTAAAGGTGGCTGCCTTTGAATAAAGGAAAGTGTCTGAAACCTGCCTGGGAAGGGTGAGCATGTCTATGTCTGAGTGTAGAGTGTGTACTTATGCTGCAACGCCTCTGTCCCCTGAATTCCTAGGATGAACACTCTCAGAGGAAATTACTGTGCTGGTTTATTCATGAAAACTTGCTGCCCAGGCTGGGCAAGAAGTGGAAGAGAAAGTGAAACAGGAAGGTATTTGCCAGTTGAGTGGGCAGCCCCATGTGCCTGGCAGCCCCTCCCCAAAGGATGGGTGTGGTTGTTAGTGTCCCAGGAGACACCAGGTCAGCCCCGGGAAACTGAGGTAGGGAGGCAATATGCAGAAATCATCCTAAAATGAAGTTAATTCTTAAAGGAGTAAGGCAAGCAAAAGGCAATGAGCCACAGTGGAGGACTTTTCCAGAACATTTCTAACATTCTAAAAGCTAAAGAAAATTATCCCAGGGGACCAAATAATCCAGGGGTTTTTAACTACACAGGAGTTTCTTGCTATTGTTTTGTTTTTCCTCCCTGGGTTTGGCTTTCTAAAACTGATGGAAGAAGTTTCTGAATTGAAATTTTTGCTTGTAAGTAGAGTTGCCTGCTTGATATGTGTCTGCTCTGGACCTATCCAGGAAACCAGTTGGAAACTATTTATTGCATCTCTTTGCAATAGTATCTGTTGAAGGTATCAATCATAAAATAGTACTTACTTTTTTCCTATAGAGAATTTTCTTCTCAGGTTTTCAAAGTTTCTTGTCTTTAAAAAAAAGTTTCATTTCATAGAGAGGACTATTGAAGGCTAGAGATTTGATTTATTTTCTCTAGAACAGTGGTCCCCCAACCTTTTTGGCACCAGAGATCAGTTTCACGGAAGACAGTTTTTCCGAGGGATTGGGGGTGGTGGGATGGTTTCCAGTTGATTCAAGTGCGTTACATTTATTGTGCAGTCAAACCTCTCTGCTAACGATAACATGTATTTGCAGCCACTCCCCAGTGCTAACATCACCATCTCGGCTCCACCTCAGATCGTCAGGCATTAGATTGTCATAAGGAGCAAGAAACCTAGATCCCTCGCATGTGCAGTTTACAGTAGGGTTCATGCTAATCTAATGCCTCTGCTGATCTGACAGGAGGCGGAGCTTATGCAGTGATGCGAGCAATGGGGAGCTGTTGTAAATACAGATGAAACTTTGCTTGCCCCCCTGCCTCTGACCTCCTGCTCTGCAGCTCAGATAGCACCAGGGATTGGGTGCAGCAGTCTAAACCATATAGCAAGTTATGAGTTAGAGATCTTGGGCATGGAAACTAGGTGACACCATCTCGTCAGAGAGCCAGGATTGGGACTTGAGCTGAGACAGGGGTCTCTCAGCCTTCCATGCCAGCACATCCTGCAGAGAAGCTGGTTATACTGATCATAGGAATAAAGCATACAAAAGAAGCATGTTCCCGAGTCCCCGTCCTCTCAGCCTGTCTTTGTGTGCTTAGATGAGCTTTACATGCTCAATCATGACATCCTGGTGGGATTTTCATGTGTCCTTTCTTGCCACCTGGAGAAGGACTGCTTGCTTAGGCCAGAAGGATGGCATCTCACCCCTTTCTGAAGGAATGAGAAGAATCTATACAACAACATGTCCCTTTGAGTTGACGCCATCCCCATTTCTCTGCCATTGTCCGTTTCTGTGTTTGGGCTGACCAGGGTTAAGGAGGAGAAGAGCTGGGAAATGCAACCAGGATGGATGGAAGGCTGCTGTGTTTTAAATGCCACCTGCAAATAGAGGCATTTTCCAAATCTGTCCCCTGTTGTTTCTCATACCCTGTGGTTGGAAGTGGATCTTTCAGAGTTCCGTGGCTCTAGGATGAGGATTCACAGAGGACAGGTGGCCTTTAATCCCAGTGTCATCAGGCTTTGGCATCTCCTGTGGGATATGGAGGCATATGCTTTCTTTCTTGAGGCTGTGTGCAATAGAAAGTTCCAGTGATCTTGGCTTAAATCCTTGCTCCGCTGTATGTGACAGAAGACTATGACTTCTCTGAGCTTTTACATTTCTGCCTGTGAAATGCACCTTTAGTGCAGTAAAGCCCACAGTGATGACGTGGCCTGTTGGAAGACTGGCACTGGTGCGGCTTCACCTCTCTGGAGATAATTTTGCTTAGCTGTTATCAGAGGTTAGGGAAGTCACTTCCAAGGATTGTGGGGGATCCGGAATTTAAATATTTTTCGAAAGATCCCTTTGGAAGATTGCAGTTTTGCTCTCCGTGCATATAGAGCTGTAGAGGTACTTGAGACCCATAATAAAATCACATAGTACCATGTCAGGTAGAATAATTCCAGAAAGAATAACCCCCCAAATTGGTTTGTCTTTGCCTTTTACTTTTTAATTTAAGAATAAGTTTTTTTTAAATAGAGATGTACCCAAAAGAAAATAAAGATGTATAATCACTCAGATATCCCTTTGATTTTTTTGAAAGAGTGAAAGTAATATATGTACATCACTAAAAAACTCAGGCAGTACAGAAACATTCAAATGAAAAAGGAAACTTTCTTCCTACCCTCATCTCTATCCATAAAGGTGATTGCTGCTACAATATCGTATGAATCCTTTTAGGGAAAAAAACACATGGGGCGGAATATCTGCTTCTGTCTATGTGCTGTTTAAAAGTGCACAGGAAAGAGTTGTGCTGTACACACACAGACGTGGTCTAGAGATTTGCTCTTTGTGTATTTCAGCTTCAACTCCATTGTATTCACTTTATTCTCTTGAATGGATACCTATCAACAAACATTTATTAAAAACAGGATATTTGTAAAGTGGGCCAGCTTCGTGCTTTAAATGAATAAAGACAGGATTCTGTTGCGCTCATTACTGGAGGAAGTACTTAGAACCGATTGTAATAACTTTCCCGACAAAGGTGGCTGCTTTTTGGCAAGGAGGAAGGAAAACAAACCAGAGAAAAGGAGGACAGAGGGACAGAAGGCACAGAGCTTTGCCTTTTTCAAAGGTGTCTTGGCTTGTCCTTCAGATCACTGAAGGGCATTCTAAGCTGTGAGGGATTTGGGGAAGGCAGTTTTCCTTTCCTTTGAAGGGAGCAAGTCTCTCTGGGCCAGAAAAAGAGAAACAGAGGCAGAGGTGTGGGGAAGAACCTTGTTTAAAGAAATATTGGATACAAATAAAAGTTTAAATTTCCAATATTGGCACAAGGTTTTTTTTTTTTTTTAAACCTATCCCCAATTCACTGACATCCGTGTGGAATTAACCTCCTGCCAGGTGAACCCCACTCACCAACAACTGTGTTTCCCCTGTTTGCATGTTTCTTGACTCTTTAAAGAGGATGAGATTTATTTAATTGAACTGTGGTCGAGGTTAAAGCACACTGTAGATATCCTGGCATCAGCTTCCCTAGCTAGAGTTACATTAGCCTGGGTTTCTTCTCAAAAGAAACTCTACCTGCTCCGTGTTATGCAGGATGATATGAATTTAGAACCTTGCCAGAATGTGCCTGAGGAACTCAGTTGAAAGGATTGTGCATACAGACAGGCTATGTAATAAGAAACATTTGATTCCCTTCTTTTAATGGGCAGGAATTATGCACAAAGTGGCATTTGTTCTTCACCCTGACCTTGCTCTCTGAACTATAGCCTCACTCACTGAAGAAATGTCCCGTGGCTGAGATATTTCTGGCCAAACCTTTGTATCTCAACTTAAAAAAAATTTTTTTTTCTGTTCTTGGATCTTTTTAATTTTTTCAAGGGAAGAACAAGGAGGAAGCACAATCACACGGTCTTCTTTTTCAAGGCCATAAAATGAGAACCACACATTTAGTTAGCCCCAATCCAACCTGGGAATTCTGAACACTTGGAACAATTATACTCAGTTTAGTCTAGTCCCTTCCTTGGAGTTGAAACCAGTTGAAACTCCTGTTTCACTCTAAAGAGCTCTTCTCCGGGAGATGCAGCCTGGGTTTCTTGTTGGAACACACATCTGTTTCTGGGCTGGCCAAACTCGAACGTGGA